CAAGGTATTAGGAGTACCGGTTGAAGAAAATGGAAGAACCACACAAGCCATCATATAATCATGGCTTAATTGCAACTTCGGTCCTCATATTATTTCTTTTTTTCGATTATGGTCGCCCATTTTAAAAACCGTTTTTTGTAGTCCCTCTATTTTGTTTTTTTGAAGATTTTAATCTCCTTCATATCATCCTGCCAACAAATGGTCCACAAATATGACCAACATATGAAATTGAGTCAATCAACCCTATAATCATTAGGAGAGCTAATGATCGTCTAAAGAAGAATCGTAACAAGACAAATAATGAGTCTAGAAATACAAATACTTTGCCCATATTTGACACAAAGGCGAACATGTAAAGGTAAAAGGGTGGTTGAGAGAGTAATACCTAAAACATCATTATTACCACCACGGTGTCATTAAAAATGTTCTCAAATCTAAAGGGGGACTAAAATCCTTTAAAATACAAAATAAATGGACTAAAAAAATGATCTTTAAAATGGGGGGACCAAAATCGTAAAAAAAGATAATAAGGGGACCAAAGTTGTAATTAAGCTTGTATTCATTGTTTGTCTCTCAACTCTCAAGATTATCACCAACAGGAACTTTCCGATTGATCCAGGTATTCTAAATTATTTTATCGATCATTTATTCTTGTTGAAAATCCACTCATTCCTACGATAAATTTATATCAATCTTGATGAACAAGATTGTTATCACCACACAATAACAATTAAAAGAAAATAAAATTAAAGAAGAAAAGAGATTTAGGGTTTCTGCAGAGTAATTCTCTGCCCACAAACTGTGGAAAACTTTCTTATTCACTTGCAACTGCAAATTCTGTGAATACAACTTGATTACGAAAAATAAGGGTTACTCCCACTATTTATAGATTTAGGTTAGCTTTCTCTATAAGCCAAAACCCAAAACTATAAAATCCCAAAAGACCTATTTTGGAACTAAATCAAATCTATTTATTTTAGACCTAAATCAAATATATCTATTTTAGATCTAAAATCAAATTTGTGTGTAACAAACTGCTTCCACACTTTGACACTTCCTTGTTTTTTATCGAGCAAGCTACTTCGACACAAAGAATTATTCTTTCAACACATCACCTAATTCACTGTGTCTAAGTTATCTATATTCATCACAGCTCTTAGTCTTCTTAACACTTCGACTTGCACACACTTCGTCATGATGTCTGCAATCTAGTTCTCAGTTTTGCAGTATTCCATCTTCATCTTCCCTTCTGCTACCCACTCTTGAAGATAGTGGAACCTCATTTTGATGTGCTTGGTTCGAGCATGTGCTATCGAATTCTTCGCCAAGTTGACATCTGACATACTGCCGATCCTCGTGGAAATTGCTCCATGATTTTTCCTTGTGATTTCTTCGACCAAGTTCACAATCCATGTTACTTGACATACACAAAGAGAAGTAGTTATGTACTCTACTTCGCACGATGATAACGCCGCTACTGGTTCCTTTCTCGAACTCCAAGCAACTGATGCACCACCTAGCATAAACGCAGATCCTGCTATAAATTTCCGATCCTCAACATCACTACACCAACTTGAATCAATGTATCCCACTAACTTGCATTATTTTCCTTTATCAGCTGCAGGGAATAAAATGCCATAGTCAAGAGTTCCTTTCAGATACCTCAATATCCTCTTCGCCGCTGCTAGGTGCGATACATTTGGTTTCTGCATGAATCTACTCACCATACCTACATTGTATGCTAAGTCAGACCTCGTATGACAAAGGTATCTCAATGACCCAATAAATTTTCTGTATTGGGATGGGTTGACATCATATTCATCTGCATCTTTTGACACTTGCAGTCTTGGTTCTGCAGGTGTCATGGTCGAGTTGCATTCTTCCATCTCAAATTTCTTAAAAATTTCTTCTGTATATCTTCTTTGATGCATCATCAAACCTCTACCTCTCTTGTAGAATTCGATGCCAACGAAATATGAAATGTCACCTAAATCAGACATTTCGAATTCCTTGCTGATGTTACCTTTGAAGTCTTCAGTCTCACTTTTACAGCTACCTGTTATCAACAAATCATCGACATGGAGACATAGTATAAGCAATTCACTATTGCTTCTTCTTACATATACTCCATGTTCAGTCGTGCACTTCACAAATTCCTTCTCCCTTATGTCATACCCCAAAATTTCTCTATTGATATTACTAACCAATTTATTCTTTTACTTTCCAATCTTGGTGTTATTATTTTCTTTGGTTAAAATTATAATTCACATACATTAGTTGTTATCTTAAAAATGATGATTAGTTTTATTGTTAAATTTCGCTTCTAGATATAATGGGGTTCAAATAGTAGAAGGGGTTCATATTCATTATTTCTTCAGTAGGAGTGTATTCTTATAAGGAGGTTTGGGTTTAAAAGGGACGTGGATTTCACAAAAATCTGAATTAAATTTAATAGTCTATTATAGAAATTTTTCTCTAAAGAGCCCATTCAGAATTTGTTAAGTCCATAAAGAGGGGTGTGTTTTATAATTGTCAAGTGAGTCTAGTGGCCCGTCTCAGAATTTTGAGGGAAGGCCCATTTGTTTGTTTTTGTTGATCGGAATCAACTCCTTATTATTATAAATTACTGTTATTATTATTACAAATAATTGTATTTTTAATTTTCAGTACGAAAGTTGACATAAGTCAACCTTGATAAATTTATGGTTTTATTATTATCAATTTTATTATTAATAGAATTATTATTATTATTTTAAGTTGTGTTGACCGAAGGTCAACTGAGGGGTTTTGGAACCCTAATTCATAGCAGCGACACTATGCTTCTTCTTCAAGATAACTCAGAGGCCCAAAAATATAATTTTCAACCGAATCAGAGGAAACAAAATCAAATTTAATATTGCAAAAAAAACGTTTTATTCATGAATACATATGCAATTTCAATCTTGATACATCGCAAATTACAAAACCCTAAAACAATTTACAACAAATCTAAAATCTAATTTCTAATTCCTAAATCGATCTTCAATCAATCTCAGATTCAAAAATGCTAATCAACATAAATTTTTCCTAATCTAAACTCTAACCTAAACCTATATAAAGAACCCTAAGACTAACGAATAAAGGACCGGAGAATTGAAAGAAGAAGGAAGGAGTAGAAGACAGATCATGAGCCCCTGTTGTTTGAATCGATTGCCGCGAGCTCCAAACCTTTCTTCAAGTGTTCCTCTTCATACAGATTTAGGGTTTCAGAACTGAAACCCTAGACCATTCAAACCCTTGTTGTGCTCGTCGTCTTCAAACACCTCTGGTACCTGCAAATCAAAGAAGAAGAAGGGGATTAGTGGCGAACCAAAAGAGACAGGAGAATTTTAACTAGTGTACTAAATTGTTGAAAGTTATAAAAACGGTCAAGTGCCGAGGGTCAAACTTAAAGATTGCTAATTTTTATCGAAAGATTCCAATGAGGTGGATAACCATAAGGAGGAGCACTTGCTTGATAATCAACATGAGTTGGAGCCTGAAATTGCTAACTAAAACGATAATAACAAACTGAATCAGTGTTTTCAAATTTATAATAAATCTCACACTATACATCGATGAACTTCCTTTGCCACGTCCTCGACCTCCTCTTACTCCTCTTCCACGAGAGAAGCCTCCTCCAGAGTAGGTTGCAGTAGTGATATTGGAAAGAGAAGGATGATTTGGAGGAAGGAGCATCACCTTGTTGTTTGGATTATGTAAGATTAATAGAAACTACTTCAAATTGCACCTTCCTGTTGAACTTTGAGAGGCGCATGGCATGCACAATAATAGAGCTTCAACTTCTTCAAGTTGAATCATCACAAATTTGTTCTCTATGACAAAGATAACAAATCCATAGTCCTGTGAAAGACCTTCGAGAAGGACATCAATATGTTGTTGAGGTGGGATAGGATCTCCAACCGAGACTAGAGAATCAATTAGTTGGATTCTTGAGAGATATTCAATGATGATGTGATCATCTAAGGAAGTAGCACGCAATTGACGTGTGCGTCAATTTCTGAAAATGATCATGAATATGAGTCATCACTGAATTGGATATAGTTGATTAAAGTCATGACAATAGCCATTGATCTTGCTGCCTTCAAGATCGAAAATGAGGATTTTCAATCAGTGCACAAGTAATTGATCTTGCTGCATCCAAGCTCGAAAATGAGGATTTTCAATTAGTACACAAGTAACTACATCATTGGAGAGATGATATGGAATTTCACAGTAGAGAAGAAAATCTTGGAGATTATGAGCATTGACTACTAGTTCAATTTGTTGACACCAAACAAGAAAGTTTGTTTCATCAAGCTTCTCTAAGATCTTTAACTAAAAAGTGACGAGATCTTGTTTAGAGGATGATTGTGAAAGTGTTGATGGCAGTGGTGGTGGAGACTAAGACGGTTATGTCATGATCGGAACCAAGGTTCTACGACACCATTTTAAAAATGATGAAAGAGGGAGAATTACTATCTCTGAATTGAAAATTGTATTTTATTTTTGATAGAAAGAAAGCATTTACATGAATCTTGTTATATAGGACTTGTTATCATACACTTAAAGAGAGTTAACATACAAACCCTTGTAACTACCTCTTAAGAAAATATTAACCAACTCTATCTGTAGAAATAGTGTGTCTAAATAGACAATGATATTTACAAACCACCCATTTTTTCTTCTTCTAGTAGAAATGCCTAATAGGTTAAGTCCGTAATAGATAAAACACTCCCGAATCGAGATACTAAATCCTTCTCTGACATGACTTCTCATTCCTAAGCATGCCAGGGCAATGCTTAGTGATTTCCTCAAGTTAGGCACACTGAACAATCTATATGCTATCGCTATTCCACTGTTGATTGCTCCATGTTATTCTAACTCAGTGCTTATTTGCAATATCAACATTATTGTCAATCATAAAGCATGAAGCTAGAAAAGAGCATCAACCTCTAGCTTATCAGCAGCTAACAAGAGTCCTAAGAACTTTTGTCAGCGGCTTTCCCCAATGTAGCGAACCTGAGAATACGAAATGAATGATCAACAATTAAACTTGATCCAGCTTAACTATGACATAAACTTAGAAGCCAATTCCAAGAATATTGAAAACAAACAAATCATGACGAGTAGAAATTGCTCAACAAATTATAGTTTACCTAATTATTGACTTCCGCTGTGGAACCGGTGTATAATTCCGACTTGACAACGGCGGTGTTAGCTCAGCAGACTTTATAAAAAGTGTAAGCAAAAAAGGGAAAGAGAGAAAGAACAAACACAAAAGTCAGAAAATTTTCTTAATGTTATTCCATGGTTGAAATAAAAACAAAAACCTGCAACATATATGATATACTATTGTTGCAAAATGGTTGAAAATATTCCAAATGTAAGATATATTAAGATGTTACCTCAAGCTCCTCCAATCTCTCATTGGAGTGTATATGAGTTAAACTACTATTTTCCTTTTGAGAAAAAACTGGTTCTGCTGCCACTATAGACTCTGAGTATCGAGAGTTCAAATTGATGTTTTTCATGTTCCCGCCAAAATCTTTGTCTTTATTTCTGTACTCAAGATCATTTTCAAGCTCATCAGGTTCTTCTGAAAAGGCTTGATGTGCATCATATGGACCACACATAATGCTTTCGATACCGAGCTTTTCTACTTCTTTAGAACTAGATGTATCAGTAGCAGTAAGTAGAGGGTTAATTTCTGAGATGCTTTTCTGATCACCGGTTTCTCTGTTCCCAGAAGGGTACTCCCTTGAAATGGACTTGGAATTTCTCAACGTATCCACACTATCTTCTGCTTGCTTTCTCTTCCTATCATTGTTATCTCCAAACACGGCCACTTTACCTTCTTGAGATTTTTCAGCTAGACCGTGGCCGGAAGTCCTAAGCTCTGACCTTCGCTTACTCACCCTGGTTACTTTGGATGGGCAGTTAGGCCGAACACCACCGGGAAATACAAAGGCAGGTAGATTGCGGCGCTTCACGTGGGTGACAAATATATCCATTCCATGTTTCCGTTGAATGTACATATAGACAGAATGCTTAAATTCTGCAAGGGTTAGTCTTATATCAAATTGTTCGCCTTCTTTGGTAGGAACTCCTTGCTTATGTTGCAGACCCATGAAGTAAGAACAGTGTAGAGGTTGAGATTTGTTTGAAAAATCCCCAGGATGTGGATGACACTGAAGCATACCATGAGTGTCCCTCTCAATCTAAATGCAGATTGGGAAAGAACAAATTTGCACCCCACAACTCTTTCAGAAAATAAACAAATAGAAAATAAATGAAACTATAAACAATAAAACTTAAAGTATATACCATCAATGTCAACTGGCGCAAGCGGGAGTTAACCCAGCCTTTCCAGTTTCTAAGATCATCAGGATTCTCCACTGAAATGTCTATCTGCAAATAATTCTTATGAGCTTCAAAAAATGGATAACACTCAAAAAGAGTATCCCAATCAGCTTTCTTAGCCTCCATATCCTATAAAACATCAGAAACAATATATTAAGCATCGCAAGTTCTTTTTTGAAAGGCAAATAATAATTCTATAAAATAAAAATGAGAAAAAGAGGGAGGAACCCAACAGAGTACAAATCCGCAAAAATGGCACAAGACGTACCAAAAGCTACACCTGAGAATCCAAGGAAAAAAAACAAACAAACTAAAGAAGACAAATAAATAAAAGCACAATAAACAAAAAATACCACCACGAGCCAAACTCCAAAGAAACCCACCCTCAAAACTATACCACAATGAAGAACAAGCTAGATCATTAAGCATAGCAAATATTCATTGAATGCTGCTGTTTTATTGTCAAACAAAAACAAATATACAAAGTATCGGCCAACCTTTAAGGAAACTCGGCTTAAAATGCTAGACTTATCACACAGATACATAATTGGGTCAACAAGGATCATAACTGGAGGTGGCTTAAAAGTAAACTCTGCTGAAAGTAACAACTGTACAGATTGGCTTACTAAACGGAGCTCTGACCATTGACCATGGCTATAGACTAAAAATTTGGGAGTCACCTTCAAATATTTGCCCCTACTAATTACTATTACTATGGTGAAAGTTGATTTGTATCTTGCTTATGTATATAGGTTTAGTTTTCTTTCTTTTAGGGCAGTAGGCCCCCATTGCACCCCAAAAAGAGTAACTAAAAAGACACAAACACGGACTATCTCCTTGCTATGTTTGGATTGATGGAACACAACGGAGCGGAGCGGAATGGAATAATATTATGTTCCATTGTTTGGATTGGTAAAAAGAAGTTGGAATGAGTCATTTTAAATAAAATAACCAAACAATGTAGTAGATTTATATTCCATTCCGCTCTGTTCCATTCTGCTCAGTTATGTTCTATTCTGCTCCGCTCCGTTGTGTTCCATCAATCCAAACATAGTCTCAATTATCAAAAAACAAACATTTTAAACCACACATCATAACATCACACTTTTTTCAAAATAAAGAATGCTACCTCACAAATTTCACCTCCCCTCTGAAACTCCTCTGTCATAATACGCAATGTACTTGACGAGACATTGTAGCTAGAATTCATGCAAGGATAAGCGGGAGTAATTATCGGCATTAGATGGTTTTTATCCTTCGGATGTATTCTAGGATCCCAAATTTTAAGTCCAAGAGATCCTTCTCTAATTTCACAAAGCATGACTGGGTTTGGCCAACGCCATTGTGTATACACCCTAAAGAATCGAGACACCAACATATTAGGCAGCGCATTCGGATATAGCTGGCATATTCGAGCAACTAGCAGTGCCCAGTTTATACCACCAAGAAAACCTGCAACCTGCTCATGACATAGCATGAAGAAAAGTTAGGTAAATCAAAACATAATAACAGATAACATTGAAGAAGTTCAGGTTAAAACAGAAAATGAACACCACATAAGTCATCTAGAGCACGAGCTTTCCCATACATTAGAATAAATGCCACGACGCTTAGCCCATAACTTCATGCATCTCAGTGTCGTACGAAATTTCTGCAGTTCAAAAATAGAAATATAACCAATTATAGGAAAGCCAGAAGTCACATCAAAGCTGAACATAAAAATTCCATCTTTGTCTACAAAATTTAAATCAAATACTTGAATATTTGGAACCAAATTCAAGATTTGATTGGTCACTCTACAACCATTAAGACTGCGAACAGATTGTTCGTCAGCATTTTGTAAGATTGATTCCTGTGATAAATCCAAGTCCTATCCAACAAAAAAAACAGTATTACTTTGTGGTGAATAAAAATGTAAAATACAATTACACTTTACATTAGTTTCAAGCAAAATGTCTTCCATAAATCTCTTACTTCAGGAATAACCCATAAAGATAAATTTGCATAAAGGAGATCCATAGAAACACCGTTGAACTTGAAACCCATCACTGGAACATGAGCACCAGGCACTGGGTGCAAGTCTGTCACTTCTGGCATCTTAGATAGCATTTTATGTAGCTCACCAAAGAAATCTTCCTAAAGCCAATTCAAAAATAATTTTAGCTAGTAGAAGTTATGACCTGAAAAACCTATATCTACATTAAAAAATGGCACAAATCATCACATCTCTGGTTGCATGTCTAGGTCCCACACAAAGAACATCAATATCTGCTCCAGGGCCATGCACCTACAAAATTTGAATTAAAAATGGTAATATGATAAAACCAACAAAGTAAATTATTGAATTGATACATCACATTTGACATGAAAAGATATAAAATAGAAAATAATTGATCTATTGGAACGGCAAGCCATATGAAAATGCTGTCCTAATCATCTTCTTCCTGAATCCTCTGTTCATAATAGCCCAAGCTTAAAGAGCAATGCAAAGATTAAATGTGTAATGTGTGAGGGAGCACGCATACAAGAAAAATTTGGAAGGGAAAAAAGCACTATACCCCCAGACGGTAGGAGCCAAAAGTAAAAATCTTGGCATTTGCTTCTTGCACCAGTTGTTCGTTAAATCCCTTTGCACGCGTAATGGTTTTGACCCAATTCTTCACAATCTATTTCATTTCATAACATCACATCTAAAATATATTAATTCATAAGGAGCCGACCACATTTCCAAGATGGTATAACATGAAATGCAAGAACAAAATAAAATTCATATAACTGAAAACATAACCCTAAACTCGATAATATTCCAGAGAAGCCTTGTGCTTCTTTACCTTAGTTTCTTGGGATCGAAATCACACAAATTCACTCTAGAGGGTAAGAAACCCAAGAATTATATGAACGAGTATAGCAAATCAGAAATAAGTTCGGAAAAATAAATTGAACCTGGTCTAGCCTGCCTAGCACTTGCTCCCTGCAAATTGCTTCCTCCTGATTTTCATACAAGCCGGCGTCTTGCAAGTACTGAAATCCAAAATCAAAATTCAGCACAACAGAACTGGTAAAATCTTAGAAATAAAGACTAATCAATTCACTATAAATCGCAGAGACAGAACCTTGTCGAGTTCATTGGACTTGTCGATATCATATTGGGCGGGTCCAGTGAATGAGATGGGTTCTGTAATCCCTAACCACTGCTGCTGCCCGCTATTGTGGTTGCTCAACCCAGTGCTCTCCATCAACAAATTGTTACACTTTCTCTCTCTTTATCTTTTTCTTTTGAATTATTATTCATACAATAACTATATATTTTTCTTTCAACTCAATGTATATAAACGTATATACTTATTTTGCTTTCCAATAAAAAAGTACAATAGAATAAATTTTGATTATGATTACAATTACTTAATGGAAAAGAGCGTTGCTATAAAGTATGATTATTAAGTATGGAGAAATAATTACAAAAGACATAAGCAGTAATTAAGAACTGAAACCCTAACAAATTAAATCGGCACGGTGTAGATGTTGAGGCGTGGTTGAAGTTGAAACTAAGAAAAACCGATGAGAATCGAATGAGAAGTAGAAAACCTGTAGAAGAAATAGGAGAGAAAGTTAGAACGTAATAAAGAGGAAGAAGCATGGAATGTAAGAAGAGTCACGTCAAATGAAATAGAATGAGATTGACAAATCTGTGGTTTCAAACCGGAGAGAATGGGTAACTGGAAGGAGCATGGAATGTTAAACTTAAAAAACTTTTAACATTTTCAAAAATATTTTAATTTTTTTTTTAAAACACATCCTTTCATTTAAAAAATAAATAAATAAAGAAAAAAAAGGAGTTTAAAAGTTTTTTTCTTTTAAAAAAAACCCTTTTGTTTCGTACCTTTTATCAATAAATAAATGAAAAGAGGATTTCTTTTTCTATTTTATAGTTTTCTAGTGTATCACGTGAAATTTCAAAAATGTTATTTAAAATCAGAAATTTATTTTCGATGCTCATCTTATCTAGATTAGACATGGAAAATAAACTCGTCCCCGCTGAGCTCCGCCTGCCCCTGTCCTGAAATTAGCGGAGAAAATCCAATTTAATCGGGGGACGGGTGCGGGTGCAGAAAAAAATCCAGTTTTTATTTACGGATGTGGGTGCGGGGGCGGGTGATGCTAGTACCCGCCTTGCACTCGTACCCGTCAATTAAATTAAATTTCTTGTTGATGCTTATACCACACAGAGTCATGCTCATTCTGGGGAATTTCTTCAACATGGGTCTCGTACCCAGAGGAAATACCTGCACAATGATTAGTGAAATTCAGTGTAGTGTGTACATGTGGTACAAAATCACATGGAGGTGGTGATTTATAAACCAGTGAAACATGATCTTGCCTATTATATTCCTTATCGGTTTCATTATCCGCATCAATATTTTGAGGGGAACATGTGGGTAGGTTAGTAGTTGGGGCAACCCTTAGATCATAAGTATAATTGGCCATTTGTCATACGTTAGTACGCTCTAGGCAAGTCAAAACAACACTCTCAATGACTTGGTTATGAACCACGAGAAAATACCCTCCAATTTTCTTGGTTTAACTAGTTGTATGTGTCTAATGGCGAGAAGATCAAGGATGCGTTATGCTAGAGGCTCAAGGGTGGAAAGCTCATGATCAAGCCCTGTAGCACGAGCACGTTGGGTGATCATCCTCCCAAATAAGATGAAACCCTTTTTAGTGACAACCGCGCTCATGTGGGCTATCATAAAAGGGGCCGAATTTACCGGCCTTTATGTAAGTGCAACCTGCAAGTAGAAGATCTCTTTGGAGTTTATTTTATTTGTGTTTTCCCGGTGAAAGATGGTGTCTTCCAATATTTGGCGAAAGATATGGACGGTCGGGTTGTGAATTTATAAAGCGGTATTTCCCTCAAAAGTGTCAGTGGAAAACCTGTTAAATCCTTCCAAAATTCCCCAGCCTCAGTTATCCAATTTGTTTTTAACGGTGCCTCACAAGGGACACCCTCCCCGTAGGGAAAACTCAATAATTTTGCAATTTGATCAATGGTATACTCATATTCGACATTAAACATTCAGAATTTAATTGTGCCTATTGTGCTTGCTGAGTTAGGTGTTGTATAATAAATAAGTGAACTTAAAAATTTCAACGTCAGGTTCACGTAGGTTTGGTCTCTATGTTCAAACATATTTCTTAATCCTAGATTTCCTACCAGATAGTAAACACTATTATAAATTTCTAATGTATGTAAGCAAGAGTCATCGATATACCTCGTGGAGAAAATGTCCCAGTCCATTAAAGACTCATACTTTTTCCTTTGCTTCTACCTTCCGGACACTGTCGAAAAATAAGTTCCCCAAGAAAGTTGTCCTCTGTTGCCACTGTTGGTTAAATTTGTGAAAAGAAATTGAAGGTTTTGTGAGAATGAAGATTTGGTAGTTTTGGGAATTTTTTATTGAGAAGAGGGGTTTTATGGTTGAAAGATGGAGAAATTGTTGGAAAATGGAGAGGTTTTGGAAGTATTGAGAGTTATGTGAGTGAGTGGGGTTATGGTGGGTGTTAATGGAGGAAGAGAGTGGGATTTGAATAAAGAAAATAAAGTAAAAATGGGGGGAAATGAAGTTGTTACGCTTATGCCCCAGTTTTCATGAAAACAACTGGTGTGGTGTTTGCCACACTAAAGGTGGCATTCGCCATGCTCGTGTTTTCTACGGATGGGCTTTGGATGCGGATCTTGGGCCTTTAGGGTGGTTTTGGATGTATTTTTGAAGGTGTATAGAATATTTGATGGTTTGTTTGCTAAAAATAAAACATTAGTTAGAAAAGAAATGGAACTTACATAATGATTAAACACATAAAATAATTAAATAATACTTGAATAATAAAATTAATGGAAAAGGAAAATTAAGAATTACCAAAACGCGTAGAAATGAAAAATAACCCAAACAATTCAATGTGAAAATAATGAAAAATCTGTAGTAATAAATCTAATGACAATAAAAATATGAATGTAATGTCGGTGAAATAAATCAATTCAATAGACGACTAAATGGATTGATGTGTGGGGCCCTGCATCTGACATGGACTGGGTGCGTGAGCTTCTAAGATCTAGCGTCGAAGAGTGATAATCTCCTGGTAAAGGTGATTTTTCTCCTCTGTATGAGTGGCATTAACTATTTTCATTTGTCGAGTAAGATTGTCGATTTTCTCATGAAGAGCAGCAATCTCCTGGCGCATGGAAGTAAGCTCATAATCCATGACATGCTTCTCCGTGGAACCAGTGGAGGAAAATGCAATAGTTCTATCAAAGAGGGGGAAAGGGTGATACTCATGAGTATAAGGGGTGACATGTCTGGTTGGTGTTTCTCCTTGGTCCTCTAAGGCATAAATCCAATTCTCCCTATTATGGATACTTGTTCTTTCTAGGTTTGATAGATAAAAGTGGTGAATGAATTCATTATTATAAGGATTTTATACTCACTAATCCTAAAGTTGACCCGTCGAAACATGCCTTTTTCAAGACAATGGTTCATGTCTAGAAGTATAAAACCACAGTAGGGTACTAGGTGGGTTAGCTTGTTTCGGAGGCTAAAGCCAAAAGCAATGTGGGTAATTGTCCCTCCTACATGGATAAATCCTACTGTAGATATGGCTATTCATCCTAAGTTTTCTATAGAAAAGTGTCAGACTCAATTGGGCAGGACTTGGTGGTGCAAAAGAGAATAAATAAGTCCTCTGTAGTCACAGGCTCACTAGTTTAACTTTTACCAAAGAATGTCTGGGCTGAAATCATTTGAAAGCACCTGAATGTCGGGTTATGGATACGATTTGAGAACTGGATGGATGGGTCGGGGCTTCTGTTACTGATCGGTAACTTTATGAGTCTATTGGGATACTAACTGCAAGTATACAGTTTAGTCGTTCTAGTTTTAAATGATTATCGAACCCATAGAGACTGAGGATCAATCGCATACGATCTAATGCTACAATTGTTTAATTAAGCGATGAATATTTAGTTTTAGGGGGGAAAAGAGTTTAATTAAAAATAATAGTAATAGCTATACTGGTATGTGATAGTCGGACTTCGAGAATTCGGTGAATCGCTTGGCATATAAAGTATTTCGGTAAAAACGAATTGTTTAAAAACCTAAGACATACACTCTCGTGTTCATGAAATAAGTCATGCTACTAAACCTAGTGGATGCACTTTAAATTTAATAACATTTTTTTAAAACAATTTGAGTTTAATTAATTTGTTAAAACACTCTCATGTATTTAAAAATTAATGTTTCATTACCATTATCTGGGTCGAACCCCAACTCTCGCATGCAGGTTCTTGCCTTAATTAATTTCCCACTCTCGTGGCAAAATCGTGTTAAATATCCTCTCACTCTCGTGACAAGGGTAGTTAAATTAAACATGGAAATTGGAAACCAGAAATTATTTATAAATGTTTTTAGCCAAGTTATCACCGAATTCTTTGGTGCTTAGGAGTTACATACCGGTACAAATTAATTTAGCCGAACATAATATATTTAGTAACTATGCAGCTTAAAATATAATTCATAAAAATAAATGACATAGCACAAGAATAAATAAAAATCAATTGCATAAAAAACATGTAAATAATGTTGCTGTGATAATCTTGAGTGCGTACAAATTCCTTACAATTAATCGAAATCTATGACCGTGTTAATTCTTAGATGAAGAACTAACACTCTAGAAACTAATTCTGGAAACTAAAAATTACAGTAGGTATAAAATGGTTCAAAAGCAAACAAAATAGAATAATGCAGAAAAGCAAAAGTTTTGCTCTGTATAAAATTCTTCGACCATGATCCATTGAACTGCCTCCTATTTATAGAAGAAGATTTTGCAGTTGAGAGAATTTAGGAACAGCTTGAGTGGAGGAAGACTCAGATTGATAGTTACTGAAGTTGAGGAAATGCAGGAGAAGAAAACTGTCCACTACGTTGCCCACGCCTCCTGTAATGCATAACTTTGTTTTTAAGCGTGTGACGATCGTCATAAGGGGGTGACGGTCGTAATGTGCTTAAATAGCGCGTTACGCTCGTCAATGATGTGTGACGAGCGTCCTTCAAGTTGTGAGAGCGTTACGCTCGTCATGGGGTGTGACGGTCGTCACAGCTACAAAATCTGCAGACTTTGCAGATTTAGTTCTTTTTCTTCTGATTCTTGGTTAGCTTCCTTCATGTGATCCTTTTTCACTGATTTG